ATGCTCTCCACCTCAATCACTGCGTGCCTTGTGTCCTTGCGTGACGGTGTCAACTCCACGCAGGTGGTGAGGGGGCATATGCCTGCCCTCTCATACCACCGCACGTACACAAACCCCTTCCGGTCGCCACTGTTGTCGCTACCTTTAAAATACACAGCGCCTTCGCATACCACTCCTCCTTCTTGCCTGACTTCACTGCAAAGTCAGTGAGCCACTTCTCCTTGGGGCTTGCCTTGATGAACGCCCCCTTGGGGACCAGTGCTCCGCCTTTGTTGCGCGGAATCGCCACCGCGGTGTGGGCCTGCATGAGTGGGGCATTGGGATAAGGAGCAAGATCGGGTGTATACTCAATACGCACACTTACGGAGCCTAAGCACTCAACAACGGCAACCTTGGTGGAGGATACACTTGCACATGTGTACGCACCACGACCTCAGATGCGGTGATCTTGGCAGCCACCATGCTGCCTGGTAGCGCATCCATGAGGTCGCCAAGTGCCGTACGGTAGGTACCCATCACCGCATCTCCCTCCTCCGCCGGCCGCATTGTGAGTCCCTTCCTTGTGAGCACGGGCTTCATCGTCTCAACAGCCTGCGGGTGTGGAAGGCAATGGGTATGTCGCGATCGTGTCCGCAGACAAGTCACGCGGTATTCACGTGTCCAACGATCATACGGTCATGCAAGGGATATGCTACGCACAGTCTCACCTCGCGCAGCGCCATCGCATACTCACGCCCGCCACCCGCGTCCTGTGCCACCTCCCTGCAGATCTCTCTCTGCACCTCCTCCTCCACGATGCGTCGGGGGATGTCCTTCCAGTTGCTGCCCCTGACCGGGATCTTGACCGTCCCCTTGTGGGTATGCTCCCACATCTCCGTGCTGTAGTGGTGCGGCATTCCGCGCATGATCACATTGTCCACCATGTGGACAATCATGTGAATCTTTGGAAAGCGCCAATGCGATGCATGATCCGGATACGCTTGCGGCAAAATCTCGACCAGCCTGTGGATCATGCCACGTCCCGTCGGAAAAAAGAACACGCAAATCAAAGATGCGGTCAGTGACACTTGGTGTCTCTCCTTTGGTTGTCTTCTTGCGCCTAGAGGGGTGGAGGGCCCAGGAAGGGGTGCTCTCAGGGATTAACATTGGACCTCCTTATGTAACCCTAAACACATGCATTCACTTCACATCGTGCTCACGTCATTCTGCTCTATGTTCCGCCCATATCCCAGGTTTACAATACGACTAACCTCTTGACTTCTTGCCTCTCTGGCTTGGAAAGAACTGCGATGTGGTTCTCCAGCAAGTGTAGCGCCATCCCAGAGTCCAGCACGTGCATGATGTCCGCGACAGTAGCACCAAATGGGTTGCCCCACTCAGTGTCCGAGAAATTCCACCGCGATAACACACACTGTAGGGTGGTGCAAGTAGGATGAGAGGGGTTCACGTCATACGGTACGATGGCGGGCTTATCATTAGATCGCCACCATCAATGCGTACTGCACACACATACCTCCACTGGATGGGTTGACCACTTGGACTGAATCGCTTCAGCATCTTTCACAGTCTTGCACGCAAGCATGTTGCGCAACACATGCATCTCGGAGTCTACGGTCCTCGGCGTGGCCTTATGCTCCAAGTCTCCAAGGAGGTCTTCCGATACATAGCATGTGCAACAGGGCCTCTTGGTGCCTGTTTGCATCGTCGCGGTGACGCGACACTGTTCAATGAAGTCGCCAGGGTAACCAAAGAAGCATGGGACGGCCTTCACAGGCTCCCCCTGTGGATCGGTGACATAGAACACCCTTAATGGAGCGCTGGGCCGAGAGGGACGTAAAAGAAGGAAACAGGTGGACAGGATATTGTTTGACCAAAAGGCTGGCGGCGGAACTACGATGCGCAGCACATGCAGCAAAATCCGGAGTAAACGCATACCTTGAAGACTCTCGCATGAGGGGCCCGAGAATGATCCGAATTGCCTCCTGAAACACTCTTGCTTTCTTGGTAGAAGTTGCCCACTCGGGGGGGAACGGCAGCACAGCAGCCAGAACATGGCCAGGTTCCGTCTTGCGCAACTCCTCAGGTATGTTGAACAGCGTTATGAGGACGGGCCACGCCTGCCTGCGCCCATTGCGTGTTGCGTTGGTGCTGTCGCTGTAGACAATGACGCCAATCACCCAGGCTGGTGGGCCGTTCACCTCCTTCTGCCACATACAAACTCGTGCTCTTGAGTACGTTTGCCAAAACGTCAGCGCAGCGGGGCATGTCCTCTGGAGAATCATCGCGTACCTGAGCCTCTTCCAGCCATTTTGCCATCTCAGGGCCGAAGTAAATCCGCTCGTTTGTGTTGGGGTCAACAACAATCCGTGGCTTTGTAACGAACCCCTTGACGCCGCCAAAGATGCGCACGAGCTTCTTCACGAGCTGCGTAGGAGTCAAAGCTTGCTGTGGGTGCGTGTACCATCAACATCAGTATGCAGCACCCCCTCAGGACGCATATTACACTCATAACATATTGCACGTACCTCCTCCGTGTTCCGATAATGTAGGGGGAGCTTCTGTGTTTGACCGCGAGGCCCTCTGACCACTATCTCCTCGCACAGCCACGGTATCATGTCTGGCGGCGCCCTGGCATTCCCCCATCGCCTCACGTCAAGCCAATTGCGCCAGCGACGCAATGCACGCTGGTTGAATCGCGGATTTCAGAAGATATGCAGCAGTCAGTTGACCTCGCGCCGCGAGAGGTCCGCGTCCCTAATGAACAGATATATTGCGGTGAGAGTGTCAAAGATCTCCCCGTCCGAACTCTGCTCACTACAGGTAGAATGGTCGTCATCATCACTAGCTTCTACCTCGGCGGCTGTAGGAGCTGCTGGTCTCTTCTCCGCCGTCCTCTCGCTGGTGCCAGCGCTGGCGGCAGTGGCGGCGGCTGTACGGGCAGGGATGCGGAAAAACGCCTGACGGGCCTCCAGATATGCCTCTGCGAGGAGGACTCTACCACGACCGAGAATCGCCTCCCTGCATGCCGCGCTTCTAGCCAAGTGCGACTGCAGCCTGTTGTCGTCACGAAACGTTTTTCTGCACCCCCCGCACACGTTGCCACCCATGATACCACCGCAAACCCTAACTTTGGGTCATCGGAGTTAGTATACCTTTGCGCGAAAGAAATCCGCACTCACTGTGTGCACGTTATAAACGCTTGACCTGTTTGTATACAGGTCATGCTGTCTAACATATGCGAGTCATTTGTTGAAATCATCGAGTACACCACTCGGCTAGGTCGGCTATGGTTATCGGATCCCATGCGGGACAATGACTCTCGCTAGGAATCACGTAAGCCTAGAACACGCACAAAATGCAATGTGCGTACATCGTATTCGTTCATAATGAATACGCGAAGTGCATGCCATGACATGATGTGCATGTCACGGTGACGCGACAAATGGCATGCACTTACGAGTTCGCGCCACAAGTACTTCAGATCCACACATCGTCATCAACGCCCCCTCTCACCCTCGATGTCCTGCCAAAACGTCCCCTCTAAAGTGTGAGGTTGAATCAACCTTCTTTTCATAGGACGGACACTCCAGCATACTCCCTCATTACCTTTGCGCAGTTTTCCTTGAGCTTGACCGACGATCGTAGACATATCTCCTCTTAGGCGCGCCCGCGACAAGCAGTGTGCTTCCAAGGGCAGGTCCACGCGCGGTGCTAAGGAGGGCAACGCAGGGGGCGACGGAGACGTGACGGATGTCAGTGCTATTGCGCGCTCCCTCCATAGCAAAAGGAGGCAATCGACCAACGGCAACACAGCTCTTAAAGAAGGCATCGGCTCGGCCGGCAGCAAACTCCTAGCCCAGCAGTACCAGACGAAGCTGGAGACGGAGACGGAACTTCCCGAGCCGCACGATCTGGTCTATCGCTTACTGACTGCCAAGCAACCACAACAGATGGAGCAAATGATGCTGTTCAATGCGGATGGCGTTGGTTGTGTCGTGGAGGCGTCACACATCATAACCATCGCTGACGGGAAGTGTGTCACCGACGCGATCGTGGACTTCCACAACGTGTGAGCAATTTCATCGGTTTTTTTAAGGCGATGTGTCATGGCCTGCCTTGTGTCCATGATTGTCACCCGTTCCCTGACTGGACAATCGCCTGACTGCGCGCAGACTGCTGAGCATCCGTCAACCCACTACGCCCAGCGGCACTTCTTGGGCCGCGGTCGACAGCAAGGCTTTCGACTACGTGAACACTTTCGGCAAGCCATACTCTATGGGCAATGGGTCCAGAGTTTTTGACGTTGACTTCTTGGCCATTCCCGTCTTCAAGAGGTGTGTGCTGTTGATTGAACGCTTTGGTTTTCATTCATGGTGGCACGAGTCGCTGCAATAATATGACGCGCGTGCCTGTTTTATGCGATATGTTGCAGCTCACACTTCTCGCTTATGATAGTTCCGTGCCCTAAGCGACTGCTGGGAGGAACGTCTGAGGAAGTGACTGGACCTCTGGAACTGATTCTTCTCGACAGTTATGGCACGCACCGTGATGACCCTACGGTGTTTGATGGCGTCAAATGGTAAGCTGCTGCATGTTTTTGTGGCCGTGTTAGTGAATTCAACAATACACTACGAGAATGTCCGACCAAATGTCCGGATTTCTTGTGTTCCAAATTATTGGAACTAACCGCCAAGGCCCTACACCCTCAGTGTGATGCAACGACTCTTGTGAACACACTGAGAGATGCGAAGCCGCTTCCCATGAAGGTGGGTCCTGCTCCCCAAACTGAGATGTGTTGACACACTATGTCAGCGTGTGGCAACGGCATGTTGTGGCCTCTAACGTGCGTGCAGAAACATAAGGTGCAGCAGCAGGACAACAAACACGACTGTGGCATTTTTGTATGCCACTATATGAAAGTCCTTGTGGATACTGATTTCAAGAATTTGCGCTCATACCTGTACCTGGAGGGCATCAGTGTGACGGAGTTCCGGCGCGGCATGCGGGCCGACCTATGCATGCATGCGGCTTCTGACCTTATACCGGCGCTGGTGAAGATGAATGTGGTCGTACCTAATCAACCCGCGGCTAGGGTCACTAAGCATGGAACCGTCGTGGATTCTGGAGCGGAGGATCACAACACAAAGCTGACACGGATGCAGGTGGAGCACTACGGCATGAAGAGGGATCTTGCGATCTGGAAAGCAGCAGTCACCGCCGTCGGAGCGGCGATGGGTTACAGTGTCGATCAGCTCCTTGCAGGAGCTACATACGTCTTGCAGGCGCAAGGTTCTGAAGGGGGCGCGGCGACACCTGGGGGCAGCCGGTCCACTGCACCCTCCACCCCCAACCCCCGTGCAGCAGCGCGGCCTTGCACTACCGACAGCCCCGGTTCCAAAGGAGGATCTGCTGAGAGCGTAGCACTGGACGGTGCAGGCAGTGGCACAGTCGAGCTAGGGGGGGTTCATCCCAGCCCCTGCGCACTACCCGTGCCTGCCGCTCCGAGGTGGTCGATAAATGGCACAGAGGGAAGTATGCACGTCACGCACCAGGCAGAGCCGGCGGTGGCTCATGCATGTGGAGCAAGGCCCGTGGTGCTGGCTATGCCGGCAAAGAGGAAGGGCTCATGCATGTGGAGCAAGGCCCGTGGTGCTGGCTATGCCGGCAACGAGAAGACCCGCATGCGTCGGGGGCGGATGCTGAGGGTGGCGCTACTGCTTGCAAGAGCAAGGGTAAGGGATAGGGTTGTAGTTCACAGTACAAGGGTGTGCGCAGGGAGAAGCGCGGTAGGTGGAGCGCCAAGATTCTGTTCCGAGAGAAGAATAAGAAGAAGCGGACGCAGATGAGGCTGGGTGCGTACAATAAGGAGCTGGAGGCTGCCATGGCGTACGCAGCAGCGGTGCACGTGGTCAAAGATGGTAAGTGCGTGCCAGGCACAGTGGAGCTGACGGATGAGGAGAAGGGTATGCTGGAGGGGTGCACGTTGGCAGTTGTCAAGCGGCTGGTTAGGAGCCGTCAGTGGTTCCGATGGCAGGAGTGGGAGACGGCACTAGTGGACTGCACGGAGGAGGAGACAGCAGGGGACGGCGATGAGCACTCCGACTCGCAAGACGATGACGCGGGGGATGCAGCCGGATGTGCCGTGGAGGAAGGAGATGAGGTGATTGAGTTGGATGGGGAAGGGTTGGGCGACGCAGAGGGATCGGCCGGGCGGGGCACACCTCATGAACTCAATGAGGACGCTGCAGCAGCGATGGGCGGTGTGGCGGACGAGGGTATTAGGACGGGGTTGGCTCTGGGAGATGCATTTGAGGGGGCGTTGTTCGACGAAGACCCAGAGGCGGTGAAGATGGAGTGATTGTGGAGTGAAGTTGTTTGCCTGTTTGTAGCCGGAGTAGGTGATACCTAATTTGTGTCAATTCATGAAATAGTAGATTAGGTGATACCTACTTTGTAGCTATGCATGATATAGTCTATTTGGGCGTTGGGTTCATGTAGATTGTGTAACGAATACAAACAGCTCCGCGCTTGTGTGACAGCCATATTTGCAAAGGCAGTTGAGTGGGTGATGTGGATGGGTAGGATCGCGAGGGATACAATGAGTGGCTCACGCGTGTCTTGAGATCGGTGATGCAACAGTATACCGTCTACGATTGGCTGACGAGATTGCGGCCTGCGCACGCCCTTTGGCGATTGAGACGTTACATCCTGTGCGCATACCTGCAACTGAGAGGGCTTGCAGCCGGAATGCGCATACTTTCACTACATGGTGTGCGGTAGCAGAAGTTGTTTAGGTTTGACTTTCGGGAATGGAGACTTCTTTGGGGACGTTGGAGGAATTGCCCGCAGGCCGGTCGCATAGGCCCAAACGACCGCCTGAGTATCTGCGAAAGGAGTATCAGTTGACCGGTAAACGAACACGTAGTCAAATGTGTGCGGGGCAACGCGGGGCAGTACAAGCGGCCTAGGGTTGAAAAGCAGAAGTGTGTCCCAGTAGAAGGTACAACGCGTGGGGATTCAGTTGCGTCACGTTGCTTTTGCCGCCATGCTTTTGGCGCATGTTCACCATTACGGAGTTTCCATGTTCTCTGATGTGACTCGCATGCGTTGCTTGAACATTGCGCTCAGGTGTGGCTAGTGCGGCCCATGGTGCATCGCAAGTCTCGCCGAATGCGGCGGTCGCGTCTAGCGTCGGTGCGGGCGATGACGATGTGGGTAGCGATGGCGAAGGGGAGGCTGCGCCTGTCCGATCCAAGGCTGTTGCCTCCATTATGGCCGAAGAGCCTAGCGCAGCAAAAGGAAAGGCTGCGGCGTCTCCGCTTAAACCGGTGGCTGACAACCCCTTTGAGGCAATGCCCTGCGCATCTGCGCAGCCGGCAAGTGGATCTCGTCGGGATGAGACGGTTGCCGATGACGCCGTCGTGATTAGCCGCGCCGAGCTCGAGGTGCTGAAGACGGCGAGAGACGAGGGCGAGCGTCGGATTGCGCGGCTGGAGGCGCTGCTGCTGGCCATAAACGAGAGGGAAACGCAGAACAAGAGGCCAAGGGGTTCGAGGGAGGAACGGGCGCAGGGAGATGCGCGGCCGCGCAAGCGCAGGCGGGTCGAATCGGGCTCGGAGGACGCGACATCGGAGGAGGGAGAGGAAGAAGATGCGGAGGCGGAGCCAGTGAGGGCACGCCGTGTGGTCCGGCGGCGCCACATGACAGTGTCGAGCTCACCCATACTTCAGGAGGCATTTGATTTCCTGCCGTCCGGCAAAGCATGGAAGGTGAGCGCCCTAGGACATGGGGACACATACTCAAAAATATGCATTGCGTGTGGTCTAATGTCTGCCGCGCTGCTGTTTGTGCGTTCTTGTACTGTGGGAAACCTTGGTGTGTGCTGTGTCGTGGACATGGCAGAGAACGTGCGACCATCTGCGGGAGTTCCTGTTCATCGACCGGGCCAATGATGTCATGACCTTTTACCCAAGCAGCCACGACAAGACGCTCGGATTATGCTGGATCACACCACGATTGACGTTGAATTATGCCGGGCTCGCACTGGCGGCCGACAAGGCGCGATGCGCTGACCTGAACAAGGCACTCAGCCAGTGGAAGACAGAGGTGACGGGCCGCGTTCGAGACATTGCGCTGTCGCGCATTGGCCTATGGCGCAACGAGCGGGACAGGAAAAGCCCGTGGGCACGCAAGAAGCGCAGAGAGGCGGCCGAAGTCCGACTTCGGTATCGCGTGCTGGACGACGTGAACGGTATGCGGCGGGGTGTCAACATCCAGGGTTCCTGTGTGTAGCTCAGCTGACGGTGTGTTACGTTGTACATGTGTGTGGGCAGAAGATCTGACGTTGTCAACCTGGAGCGAGAGCAGGACTGGAATGATCTTTGCGTCGGGAGCGTTCATGGCGTGTGCCGTGACCGCCTTCCAGCCCAAGAAGGTCACAGGAGCGGTGACCGTGAAACTGTACCAGATGGCGTGGCTCGAGCATGTGGTGAGTTGCATCTCAATCCCCGTTCAACCCACCCGTGCGCGGGAGTGATGTGTGTGTGCGATATGTTTGTTGTTTCACGCAGGTTACCGACACGGTTCTTAACTGGGACAAGCGCAAGGCCCGCCTATCAAACTCTGCTGGTGGCAATGCGGAGGTGGTGAACGGCCTCCACCAGGTCGCCGAGGGGGCAGTGGCGCACGCGATCCAAGACTTCAAGCCCAAGTACGATGCTGATGCCCAGGCGTGGGTATGGGGGGAGCGCGGGCTGATGCTGTCCTCGTGCGGGCTAGAGCACTTGATTCCAGGCCGTTACGCGCAGAGGGCGCCAATCGTGGAAGACGGTGGTTCGGTTTCTCTGGGCACTGACTGAAGTTGGTAGTGAGGCGTCCCTAAACCCTGTACATGGACACGGGCTTCCACTCTTTGTATTTCATGCATGTTAGAAGGATATACGTTTGTGGGGTTAGCGTTCGACGAGATGGGGATGTAGTAAGACGGCGTCAAGCGGTAGTGTGTGGACGTAATTGGCGACGGTGTGTTGTGTAGCAACCCGGGTGTGATGTGTGCGATGTTGTGGTGTGTTGCGAGATTGAATAAATCACTTGTAAGCGCGCATACTTGCGTGGCGTAACGTGGTGTGCTTTACGCGCGCAAGCAGTGCGCAAAGCTCGCAATAACGCGTACAATTCGGCAGTAAATGGATACCTTACCGTGTCGCGATCGGGTGGTGGTACGACGGCGCGCAGCGGTGGGATCGACGGTTGGTATTCACGCCGCGAATACCGCCGTCTAGTTGAGATGAAGCCAGGATGCATGCGTGACGCGTGTGTGCAAAGTGGCACATTGGGTGTACGAGGCGTGGGTAACTTTGCGGCGAAGTATCCGACAGTGTTCGGAGTGCGCGCTGATTGGGTGGCGTGTGAGGAGTGTGTGGAAAACAGTGGGGTTGCGATGGAGCGAAATACGCGGGCGACGGCGGTTGGAGCCAATCCCGGCATCCAGTGATGTCACTGCGTTACGCTCTACCGCGGCTTGATTGGGCGTGGAGGTGGTGTGCGGAACATGCGGCCCAACAGTGTGCTCCATGACGCGCGCGGTAGTGTTCGATGTCGTGCTGGGATTGGGCGTTGTCAGGTTCGCGAATGCGAGCTAGTGGTGCATGAAGGTGTCCGCGTATGCAATAAAGTGGTGGACGAAGCGGGGTTACCATGCCGTGTGCCAGTAGATAGCACACACGTGCTGGAGACTGGTTGGTGTACGTTTCATGGCCTACAGCGTACGGGATCAGATCCGAGTACGGTTCTCGTTGCCACGGTGGCGCCGTGTTGTAACTGATCGATGGCAACATGTAGGTGATCTTTCGGCAACATGCACGCAACTGCACGGCAGGGTGTTAGTGACTTGAAGTTGGGCGGAATGTTGCGGAATGGTGGCTGCTGGTTTGCAGGATTGTTGCAAGAGAGTTGCGGAAAAGTTGCGGAAGGGCAACTTTTTTGCAAGAATTTCGCAATCCGCATTTCTGCAACATTTGACCATAACTGGAAAGTTGCAAAACCAAGGTATCCAAAAAGTATCCTTTTTGCAACATTCCCACAGCTTTATGGCAAGCCCTTTTTCGCGATGGACCAGCGGAACCAGCCAGCTGGTGGTGCGATTTTTGCGGCTGCATGATAAAGTGGCGCGACCCCTTCCCGACAGAATCGTGCCTTCCATCATCTCCGTCGAACTTCTTTCGGCTCGAATTGACGACACGATCGCGATCGCGATCATGCAACGGGGACTAACTCCGCCGCTACTAAGGGCGGCGAGCAATTGTCAACGCCGCGAGAAGCAGCGGCGAGAGAGGTTGCGGCGATACTGATATTCCGCATGCATCTGTGGTGGTTGACATGTGGGTTGAGAGGGTGGGTTTGAAATGGAGGAAACCTTCGTCTAGAAGGCTGGTTTGGGAATCGGGCTTAGTTGGGTGGGGTGGAATTGGGTTGGGTTTGGAGCGTAACTATAACGCCGAGTGGCTGGCAGCGAATTGCGGGCGGGCGATGAGCTGGCGGGCGGGGGGAGGTTTGGTTCGGTTTTGTTTGGTGAAATCGATGGAACCAAAACGGACATTTGAAACGATTAGCGAAGCGCGCATTCCAGAAGTGCGCTTCGGATAATCAACCCCCACGGACGACAAATCTGCCGCACATTCCACCAACACTGCTCCCTGATTTGTGCGACATGCGTTGACATTGTAGGGGGGTTTCCTGGAAAGTGTATTTCACCAGATGTATACAGTACATCTTCTTTTGCAAATTGCTTCTTGATTACAACTAAACATTTGAAAATAGTTACAAGTATGTTTTTCGCATATGCATGTTCATGAAGTGTTTTTTTTTTTTGTCTGCATGTGCATTTCATTACACGCGTGTGTGTGAATGGGGGGGAGGGGGGATATGTGTGTGTGTGTGTGTGTGTGTGTGTGTGTGTGTGTGTGTGTGTGTGTGTGTGTGTGTGTGTGTGTGTTTTTATTGTTGGAAACAAGTAACTTAACGCTTCTGATGTGTCGGAACATTGAACTGTAAACGAAGCAAATAACAACGAAGCAACGGCGAGTCAACCGAGGATGTAGACAAAACGTAACTGCTGGAGGTTACGCGAAGGTCAAATGTCAGCGACCCTTGACTCGACAAATACAGCGCGACAGCAAGGACAAAGAAGTGACTCGACATTGAGCAGTTGCTAGAGTCGTCACTGTATCGAACCGCAACAGCAATAGTAAAAGTGGCTATTGCATCTTTTCATATTCCTTGTAATCTTATAAAAAGCTAGTATTCCTTAGCTATAATCAATCTATCAAGCCCTCACATACTAGCGCAAGGAGGTTCAACACCTTGTCATTGAAACGCTTCCGCAATACAACATTCCTATCAAGAGCTTTAGCCTTGAAAGATCCTAAGGGCTTTTCTCAGCCCAGCATGGTATGAGAGCAGACAAGGCAAAACTCCACTTCGTTTAAACTCCTACAACATTAGAACACATGGCAACACAGAATGTGAGAAGCTCCTCTAACGGCTCTCTCGGCACTACTCCTACTCCACCTCCAGCCTCTGGTCTACAGACAGAGGGAGGCACAGCAACAAGACCGGCTGCTGAGTCTATTGAAACTCCTGCGAACCGGGCAACAAGCTTCGACCCAAACATGATGGAGAAATTCTTCTCCTTCATGTCCTTCTACGAACAACACCAGCAAGCAGCACCTGCGCAGTTAAACAACAGCGACAACAACAATGGTGGCACACCTACGAGCCTTGATGGCTCATCCTATGCGCGCGGAAATCAGCAGCAACCCATTTTTGCTCCGTACGAGCCTCAACGCGGCTCCATCAGCTTCATGCCGCATCAGCAGCCTTCACCTGGACAAGAGAAGACACTGGACGCGCTTCAAGTACAATCGCAGTTCGCGCACGTTCTAAAACTACAAGCATCAAGACCATTCGGACGAGAACGGACGAGATCATTAGCAACAATCCAGACAACACCAGCAGCAACAGAGACAACACCAGCAGCAGTTGAGACAACACCGGCAGAAACAGAGACAACACCGGCAGCAGCAGAGGCAACATCGGCAGCAACAGAGACAACATCGGCAGCAGTATAGACACGACACGCGCCAATCGCTGGTCCGTCAACAGCACCAGCCTTCATCGACGACACGCCACCGATTCCTGCGCAACAGCTGACTCCCACTCCACGGGAAGTCTACACAAGCGCAAACCTCACCGCAGGTTTGTATTCCAACTCCGACCTATAAAGACGTTCACCCGGACATCGCGGTAGCGAAGACATGTGGCATGCAAGGATGGGACACGCGAGCAACACAACGTCAAACAACACGATAAGAGCAGGTGTTCTTGATAAATACTCACTACTTCTACACGACGGCAGAGAACTTCAACCATTCCGCGGAACGTGTTTTACCTGCCCCGAAGCCGACTTACCGCATCAGCCGTTCGCCTCTCACCACAACCCAAGCGTACCAGCATGCGCACCACTGGAGAAAGTGTACAGCGACATACTGTACAATCGTGTCGCCTGGCTTCCAATAGCAAAACGAGAATCAGGAGTGAAGCTGAAAAGCTTCTAGACAGACGGGGGAGGGGAATATCAGTCACAGAGGTTCAAGGACTACCTGGCAGAAAGAGGCATCAAACGGCTCATCTCCCTTCCCTACGCCCATCAACGGCAAGGAGTGGCAGAAAGAATGAACAGGACCCTTCAGAACACCATGCGCATGCTGCTACGTGGCATGCGACTACCCAACCACCAGTGGCCCGAAGCAATGGACCATGCCGTAATGCTGCACAACTTGCTTTCGTTATCATCACTCCTGAACAACGCATCACCGCATCTGCTATGGACAGGAAAATTGGGCAGCACAAAAATGTTGCGAGTGTTTGGCTGCATGGTACAGTACCGACCCCCAACTGCACGAGCCGGCCGATTCTCTCAACGTGCACAGTGGGGAGTACACCTGGGCATCGAAAAGCAGCAGCCTCACTAGTACCTAGAGCGGCAGTCTCAATGCCCGGGTCGGGCGGAAAGCACTGGTAACAGTCACCCTCATCACTAATAGTCACAGCATACATGGCAGCAAGAATAGCATCAAAGTCAAGGTCAAAGACAGCTACTCCCGCCCTAGACAGCTCACCCCAGCGGAGGATCTCCGTGGCCTCCGGGAACTGGTGACGCCAAGCGTCCGTCAGGCGGCCAAAGTAGCGCTGGGTGGAGTGCGCACCCTCGCACTGCTCACCCGCGCGGTCGCCGGTGCGTAGGACGTAGGTGCACGGACCACTACCCCCACCCCGCTGGCGTGCAGTGTACCACTCACGGAGCTGCTGAGGGGAGGGGATGTCACGAGTGCGCTGCTGCTGCTGCTGGCGCTGACCTCCACCGGAGCCGACCCTCTGCGCAGCGCCACCCCGACCAGCTCCACCTCCTCCGCCACCGCCTCCTCCACCGCCGCCACCTCCGCCACCACCTCCGCTCCCATCGCCACCGCCGCCTCCTCCGCCTCCACTGACGCCACCGACACCTCCACCCCCGCCACCACCCCCACCGCCACCCCCACTCCCTCCGCCGCCTCCACTGCCGCCTCCACCGCCCCAGCTAGCTCCTCCAGCGCCCCTGCCCCCCTTGCCCTTGCCAGGGCGGCGTCTTCCGCTAGGGGTAGACGCCGCACCGACCGACTCAAGCCCAACGAGGTCGGCAGCAGCAGCAAAGGCAACAGAGGGCAAAAGGGGGGAGGGGGAACACCCCTCAAAGATGGGGGTGCGAGGGTCACCACGACAGGCTCCTACAGCGACTATGCTCTTCTCCGCTGCTAGGAGG